ACGGCGGACGTAACCATCGCTATCGACTCTTTAATCACTTGGTTCTCTTTTCATTCTCATTATCGTCACTAATTTTGGGCATGTATTTAGCTCTTGTGATGGTGTATTATATGAAATCCCAATTTCGATCAAATGTGGTCGTGAATCTCCACAATACTATGCACTGTCTTCCATAATTATCTATATCTTCAATGACAACGTAATTAACAGAGACAATGGCACATGGTAAGATGTGACAACGAACTACAGTGTGTATTGCATCGGAACATAGAGAAATGACAACGAATTAGACACTTTACCGATGTCTTTATAAATACCGTTGTCAAATATTACCGTTGTCATTCCGATTTTACAGCACATTTGACTCACATTTACCGTTGTCACTTATACTGCATCCGTTGTCCTACATGTATGTCAAATTTTGATCGGTAAAATTAAAGCCTTTATTTCGATGATAGAGCATATTTAACTAAATGAAGAATAAAAAGACACATATATTGTACCTTTAGGAATTTAATCTAGGTGCTCTATTAAACATGCAGTTAATGAAAATCAAATCGAATACGAACCTGTGGCCGCCATTTGTGACATCGGTACCTGACTTAACCGTTGTCAAGGTGTTCCAGTGTGAGAATGGCGTTCTTAAATGGGGTATCAGGGGGTTCATAGGGGGTGACAAAATTACAAGTAACATAACCTACCAATATCTTCCTTATGATCTCAAATTCAATATCTCACAAGAGATCCACGATATGTTATGAAATGATAAAGTTAAGGATTCAAAGTGCCAAAATGGGGAGGGGGGATGTTTAAATTCTCCCACATAATAAAACCGATTTGTCATATAATAGAAAAAGAGTGTATTATTGTAAACATTTTTAGTTTTCCTTACTTACAGCATGCACTTTGGGTATTTTTAGAAAATAGACAGGACAAGGAAATTGTCCTACATAAATTATTCTTAAATTGACACAATTTTTGTTTATAGTTGTTGTCAAGATTTTGCTAAATCCGATTCTTACTTTAAAGTTAAAATACATAGACTTGTATAAATATACGCTACAGGATGTTTTCCAAGTATTGGTCGCCCAATAAGCGCAGCTGCAAGTTGCAGATCACAGGTGCAGGTCGGAGACGATTTATAGCACATTGTTTTCTGAGAAGGTATTATTGATTCCAAAAGGTATGGAAGCGATCAATTTTGACTTATCAGTGCTTCTTTAACGCAATTGACTTCTCATATTAAGAGGAAATGGAGACTGTTAAAAGCACAATGGAAGTGATCGTGTTCAGGCAATCACCGCTAAATATGGTGATTCGTTTTTACACATGGTATTCGAATACATCAATGAATGCAGTATTCTCCATGGGATTTGTTCGACTAAGTTCATCGACATGTCAGACAGACTCTTGTTAATCAATTATTTTAAATAGGAAGTTTACCAAGTACTGTAAACAATGTGAACGACCCGACTCTTTTCACGCAGTCTCAGTTTTCAGATTAGTCCAGCAGCCCCATGGACAGTAACCATGTTTTGTCTGATTAAGTTTTTTCTCTGCAGATTATGCATTGTAAGGTTCCCTGTAATGATATTTGGGTAGGTGAAGAACCCTCAACCTTGAGGTATTTTAGCAAAATGTTAAAATCCAAGATGGCCACAATGAAATCTTTGAAATCAAATAACTTTCTTCATACCTATGATAAAAGCTAGTCCTTTGTGCCTTGTATGTTTTCAGGGTAGAGGAATTAAATGGAAATGTTACTTTGTATGATTTTATATGAAATAATGAAGAAATCTGCTATTTTCACATAGCAAAATACAAAAATCCAACAAATGGCAGGAAATGGCCATGTAACGTCCTATGATTTAATTAGAAATAATGCAGATATTCGCTCTCTTAACATAGCAAAATGCAAAAATCCAATATGGCCACCGTGAAATCTCCAAAACCTGCCATATTTTGGTCAGGAAAATTGAATGGAAATGCTTTGTATGGTTTAAATAGAAAAATCAGATATCCATAATTTTCACATATCTAACAAGGTATCAACATGCAGAATATCACCACCTGCCATTTGTTACAGACACCGACCACAGAATACTGATAAGTTAGATTGTTTGCACCTACATCTGTTTGATTTGCAAGGGATCTGACATTTACAGGAACTCCTGATTTTGAGTAGTTCGTTTAGAATCATATCAGATGTAATCATCTTTAGGGTCAGCAAATTGTCATCGTTTGTCCATCCATAATCTGTTGGGTTTAGCTCTAGTGGATGTGCATCAAGTGAATGCAACCAAATTGCTACTTGAACATGAGCCCTTAATACATTTTCCGTGAATTTTACTTTTGTTGGAGGTAATGAACAAATAGATGGTACGCAGGCTTTTGTCATTGTTGATGGACCGGAAAAAGGGAAAACGTTTTATGGAATTCAATCATCGAGGCTATGAACAAAAAATTAACTTTAAATATTCAAAATAATTAAGAATATGTGAGACCACAACGTGTAGCACCCAATCAACTAAAACAACTTATAATTCACGATAAAATTAATAAACGCCTCACAAAGCCGTGCTATAAATTAACTCGAAGACAAGGTAATTTCCTTTGATTATATTACGTCTGCATTTACTTCAAACAGACTCAGAAGGCTGTGATTTACGATCGTTAAACAGCAATATAGAATATATAAGTGCATCAATTTTTAACATCATAAGGAAATGCAGTATCAATTAATAGTTTGTCTTTGTGACCTTCGTCACAATTAGCTGTAACTCCCTAGGGACCAAATTCCAGGGCATTTGTCTAGGATCAAGAAAGGAAAAATATGTCAACTGAAGAGGGCAATTAAGCCAGGAGTCTTTTTGCAATTAGATATGAACTGAGTTTCCATATATTTTTCCCTAATCAATTAATCCCCAATCCGCCATAACTGTATAATTGGTAATTTTGTCTTATCATTTAATTTGCCCATTTCCGAATTTTTGCCAGGTTCGGAAAATTAAATGTCGGAAATATTATCTTCATAATGTTATTCAATGGGAAGTTTCTTGTGATTAGGAAAATAAAAATTTAGGAAATGATCTTTGACCATTCGGCAAATTAACCACAGTATATGATTAGATATCCCTGACATTTTGGAACTGCGTGGCAGTACTGTACCAGTCCATATTTTCGAAAAGTTCAAGTGCAAGCGTTTTTCCCGCCCCATCAATAGGCACCATTATTAGGTCTTCTCTTTTAATGTGCCAGTAATATAATTGAACTTAAAGCATACCTGATATCGATAATAATGTCAAAATAGCCACCTGAAATTGACACAGTGAGTTGAGCGATAACTTATTTACTTTTGGGATATATTCCTAGAGGGATTTCAGAATGAAAAATCAAAAATCACGATATGTAATCTAACGTATCCAACAACAAACTAATCATATTACATATCAAACATTCATCTTTTTTGTTTTTCCTTCAATCGCGTACAACTTTGTGGACAATAATTCTATGACAGAAATTCCAAAATGTCCTCTTTACCCAAAGGGTCTCAAAATTAAGACTAGAAATCAATACCAAATTACATCATTGAAACTTTTTAATGGATTGCTTAACTTCCAAACATGACATCAGGTTGAGAAGACCGTGCGGACAAGATTTTGGGATGAAAATCAAATAATCTTTGAACATACAAAGACTAACTTATTCTAAATTTTCATACGAAGGGACATTCCTAAAAAATTCCAAATCAATCATCAGGCAGAAAAAACCTGAAGACAATATTTTTGGACGAAAATGGAAAGTGGCGCCTTAAAAGAAATATTCCATTTTTCAAATCGATCTCCTTCAAAGGAATTACGAGTACATGATGAAAAACTGCAGGGAAATCCAAAACTACCACCTTCAGATTAGCCCGGCATCATCAGTTCTAGATTTTCATACAAGCTGAAACAGCTCTAAACCCCTAATCTTGCAGTAAATGCGATAGACAATATTTATGAGAAAAAAATTTGACGTGGCCATTTTCATAATCCTTAAAAAATTGATCAACAATACATTGCAAATCAATTCTTCATCCGGTCTGAATTCAAATGCATAGATAATCCCTAAAACGGTTTTGGGAAGGCAAATCCCAAATGGCCGACAATTTAGTCTTAAGCTTATCTTCAGTCACCATATTGGAAACTTTGAGCGCGGAACTTTAAAACTCTCAATATACGTCCGTGTGGGAATATTTCATTCTTCAGATTTTGCTGTGGATTCGATTTTAAATGCTTCAAAATACTCTCCTAATGCTTGCTATGATTTCTATTAGTAATGTTTTGACTTCCCCGCTTCATAAAAAGAATATTATCACCATTTACTCTATAATTAAGCATAAACTGAGAATGAATAATAATCTTTAAAAAATTTCACCCTTCAAAGACTGTGTCAAGCCCCACGTACGTGGATACGAGTTTTTTTTTATGCAAAGCCAGACTGCCCAATCAACAAAAATCATTTCGAGAAATCAAAAGCAGACATGAAATCAAAATATTAAAAAATTATTAACATTTCTGCAATTTCGGCTTTATTTTATGACTAGACAGATGACAGATCCCTAAATAAAGCCATATGGGAGCATTAATTCATCTATAATTCATCATAAACTAAGATTTAATAACTTCTTTAAAATTGAACCCTTGAAAGACTGTATCATGTCCCAGGTGGGTAGGTGGGTATGAGGTACAGTAGGAGTTTTTTTATAAAAAGCCTGTTATGTGCGTAATATATGCATTAATCGTCCATCATCAAGATTAAATTAGCTGACATTTGCACGAGAGCCCAACGTACTACTGCTTAGTAGTCCGGAAAGGTAGAATCAAAGGACACCACACCTGCACACTATGATGTCGGTTAATTTTGAGATTGTCAATGACCTTTTTGACCTTACCGTAGCCTATTCTAGATCACTTCAATTATAAAGTTTTAAAAGGGGAGGGGGTTAATATAATGCTCACCTGGGGTAGGCTGAATAAGGCACTGAGAAACCAGGCAGCCAGGATCATGATCCGTACCCTCTTTGGGGCCTTGTTGCGACTCAGAGGATCCATGATGGCCATGCAGCGATCCAGGCTAATAATGACAATCATGTACGTCGAGGCATAGAGTCCAAACACCTGCATGAACTTGATAATTTTACACATGACGTTACCAGCGAACCACTCGACAGTTGACGCCCAAATGGCATCAGTAATAATGCAGAAGAATGTTACGATGAGGTCAGCAATCGCCAGATGTAAGATAAGCGTATTTATGGTGGATTTTCTTCGCCGTATTTTGATCATTTTAGCCAATGTTGAAATGTTTCCAATTACCGATACGGTGAAAATGAGCGATAGCACAACTGTCTTGATAATGCTCACCATGTTGAAGGTTGGCATCGGATGCGCTGTCCCCGGTTCTATATTAGGCATACCTCTTGGCAGATCCATATCTTTGCTAAGATTACCTTGGAAAAACACCGATGTCAAAGTTTCAGTTGATAAACCATTGATTAATTTATTTGAAAGTTGTATGTGTTCTGGCAGCTCTGCTACAAGTACCTCGTCCTCATCTACGACAAATCTCCAATTATGGTCCGATGAATAGGTGTCACTTTGTCTATGTGCCTTCCAATACCGCAATCCACTTGCGTTCACGACTGTTTCTAGAACCATATTGCGTTGTGCGCTTTTATCGTGGTTTAAAATATAGTTGTCGACATCTATATTATCGTATCTTTTTTATAATTTTGATTAATAAGTTGCTTAATCGCGGCTGCTCCAATGGTATAGTTACATTACATCATCATGCCAATCTGAAAATGATCTAAGAGTTATGGAATCTATTTACACCCGTATTTACAATGACGTCAATGATATATTTCTTACTTTGAGTACATTGAAAGAGTTTTGCACCATAAAATAAGCGAACCGATCAAATGCATTAACTGCGGTCCAGTATACAATGGGAAATACGTCATCTTGAAAGATGTTTTTGATGAAAAGTATATTTAAAATTCATCTCCTTCATACAAATATCTTTTAGAGGATAAAGTGCAATCCAATTAACGTGAAGTGAAATATTATACCTTGATATTGCAAATTGTTGTTCATGAACGCAGCTGTTTTTAGCAACAATTTATAACAAAATAAGTTTATTATTGTCAAACTTATTGTTAAATACAAACTTTTGTCACACTTTAGACTACTTTGCCCTTCCAAAGATTGAGCAACAAACGACACAAACATTTCACAACACCACACTGTGTTAATAAAAAACTGGCATCATGAAACTATCCAATGGGGAACTGCCAAAGCTTTAAAGGGAAATGGTATACAGAACGGTAATAATACTATGTAGTCAAAATGAAGCAATTTCGGTGATCAGATCGGATCTTTAATTAAGATAAGATAGACTAACCATTTTTCAAATTTGCAATTACTTAAATTCAAGTAAAATCAATTCAATCTATTTCCAGAACTTTATTTTTCTATTTGTGTACATTAAATGAGGTTGTTACCCCAAGAAGCGTATATCCCACGAGACATTATATTTTGAATGATCATTTTCCACAAGTCAGTAATTAAAGTCAGTAAATACAATATCATTGTTCAATCAATGAAACAATGAAAAACTTTCCGATTGATCGATGCAGTCTCATATAGACAATGGATTATGTCTGACATTGAGACAGTTAATTAACTTTAAAGGCCCCGTGAAAAGTTATATATTGTTAAATGTTTAATTTAAGACATCTCTCGGAAGAAAGTTGACTTTTGCAGAAACATATCGTCCGTATTTTAATTTCAGAATATTCCCTGTCATTTTGGCAATAACATAATGGATTGTAACATCGATCGTAACGTTGAACACTTGGCATAGTAATGTACATTGTTTCAATCATCCTTCTAATATGAAATTTAAGATATTTTATAAAGTGCATCATGTTGGACAATTTGTTACATAGATATATGGAGATAGATAAATAGATGGCAGCACGTGTGTTGTTAGGACAAGAATAGGTGCTGCTATTCATATTATAAAGAAAATCACCCCATTTCTTTATCCATAATTATTTCCATTTGGATATGTAAAACTCCATTGGCATGTTTTTAATAGTTAAAAATGCTAAAAATGTTAAAAATGCTAAAATCTTTCTAACACGACATTTAACCAAATTTCAAATCTCTTATTAGCAAACACTCTGATAACTGATAACCTTACCTCTGATGAAATATCTTTTGTGAGTAGGCTCACATCAACAGATTTGAAATTCCTTTGCAATATTGGATCGGATTTTCAACAAACGTGGGAATCTTGCTCACGTTCCATTTCTAGATCAGATTATTAATCAATTGTTAGTCGTGTGTTTGCAATTGTCTCTACCATTTCGCCTGAAAGTAGAACATAGGGTTTTAAGATTATAATCAAATCCAAAGAAGGTAGATGATTAAGTGCACTGGCTTTTTAAAGGGATATTGGGTGAGATCGCACCCCCCTCACCCTGGCTACGCCTATGCATTGTAATCACTAAGTGACATGGAATGCGACGACCTTATTATTTTCGTGATAATTATGGCACTTCAGAAAATAATTGTTAGAGGGCGCCATCTGAGTAGTAATGAAAGAAATTCCAGAGGAAAGCATGTTCTTGACATAACTGAGACAGAGGAAGGTTAAATAGTTCTCGTCACCAAATCGTTTTTCCCTTGATTGGGACGAATCTTCATGTGTCAAATACAGTCAACATGCTTGAAAGTAATTACGTGACATTTTAAAGTGTCGCACTTGTTTGTTATGAAATAAACCTACTGATTAAAAAATGATGGAGACATAAAATGGTACAATTTGAATTATCATATAACATTTTCAACTTTCATTAACAAGTTTAAAAGATGTAATAATCAAAAGAAATCCCTGAGAATAGTACCGATACGGGATCTGATAGGGGGTTTTGGCTGATAAGGGGTCTGTTGTCACATGTACTTCGTTAATTAATTGGTCAGCCCTTGAACCATTTCCATGTGAACAAAAGCTTTCCATTAGATTACATTTCATCGATAATTATTTTTCATGTCATTTTGTGTTTCGCTGACAATCTAGATGACTTATTTCATTTTCTTAATAGTTCTGGGAAATTGAATTACGTTTTTATCGTAAGTCGGTCAGATCTAATCAGTCTTTCACATTAACATGATTAGAGATAAAATGCAATGATCATGTTAGGGAGATATTCTCAAAGTGGCAAGTAAATACTACGAAGGGAGAACAGATGTGAAGGTTTTAAATGGAACAAGTTTGAAGAAAAACGGTGTACTATGAGACTCACAATCATTGATTTTCCAAAGAAAGGGTAGGTTTGAAATTCAAATTAACGGTTTTGCGGGTCGTTTTGGTTTCGATAAGCCCCGGTGAGTTAGTACCGCGTGATTGTGAACGCAAAGTTGTCTTAAAACGTGTAGCTTAACTTCCCTATTGTTTCTTGGTTTGACGTGAATGGCCTTTGAAAACCTGCTCTGGGCTTATCTGAAAGGTTGATAGAACATTAGAGTAACCGCATGAGTCCAATTCCATTCGAAAATAGATTTGCCACCAGCCAAGATACCGATATAGAAGTTGTTCAAAGTCAAAGTTTGTATCTGTTCCACATCATTCAAAATCGAGTACTCACAACCTTGCAATTGCATGAATGCAATTTACTTATATCAGTACCGAAAGATCAGTTGTTGCCATGGTGTTGATTCAATCCTCAATAAGTTACATTTAGTATAAAATGATATTACAACTACACAGAAAGATGGCAGCCCTGTGGAAAATGTATTGTTTACTGTTGCTTCTATACAATATCAGAATACGTGACTTAATATTTTGATGTATCACCGTGATGTAGAGCGGAAAAAACATGTCAGCACCTGATATAAGAAGCCTCCTGACAAACATCTAAAACCTACTGAAATTGACAGTTCAATTTAGAACCTAATCTTGAACCTGCTGATGATGCAGCAATCAATTCACCCTTATAATCATATGTATTCAATTGGGACAATTGAGCTTTGTATATATTTTATATAACAAAAGACTGACGGAACTTTTTGAAGTTCGATCTATAGTTGTACTAAGACAAAAAATGGGTTACACCGTACACGTGTATGACCATTATTTCCACTTATACTGAGTTGGTGGCATTGGTAGTCCAAATGTATAATGATGCAAATAAAATAATGGAACGAACAGCAATTATTGTCACCATCAACATCTCGAGATTGTAGGACACTTCATTTATACTGAATTTATTACAACATATGTTGGAGAAAACTGGATATATCTGATATCGAAAATAGTGAGATAAGAACAAGTGAAATTATTGGATTTAGCAATATCACCCCGGGATAGCCTGACAACGGTAAAGTCAGATACCGTTGTCACAAATGGCGGACATAACCGTCGCTTCAATTAGATTCTCATGAACTGTATGTTTAATAAAGCACCTAGACTAAATTCCTTTGGAACGACAATCAATCAAAGTATCTTAATACTCATTGTATAATGTTCTACCATCCAAATAAAGTCTTTAATTTAACCTGTCATTGCCATATGCTGTTGTCTTTCTAAATTACTCAAATTCAGATTCCGTTGTCATTGACGATATCGAAGACGCTATATTGTGGCGATTCACGACCAAATTTGATCGTTGTCACAAATGGCGGACATAACGTACCGTCGTTTCAATTACTCAGATGCGAGTAGGTAGTTACCAGTTTCGCCACCAGGTGGCTGATTCGGGGGAAATAACATGGCAGGGTATTACAAAGTTCTCTTAAACTTGAATATTCATCAGTTTTAGTGGTTCACTTTTCATATTACCCTTATGTATCTGATAGTTATACAAATTAAAATATGTCCAGTAAAGGAAAAAGTTATCTGCCCAACACAAGAAAAGATATTTCACTTTTTGTGATTTTACAACATGGGGTCAATGGGGAATCTCCCCGACCAAATAATCACATTTTTAAAGAAAATTAAATTTTCAAAGTTGATAAACTCTTTTCAAAACCTCATTTCTAGATGTAATTTTACATGTAGATTCCAAATATGACATCAGTTTGACTGAATTTTTTTAATGACGTAAATCAAGATTATTTCTACTCGCACCTAGTCTATTAGATTTTCATTAACTGCATGTTTATACAGCACCTAGACTAAATTCCTTTGGAACAACAATCAATCAAAGTGTCTTAATCCCCATTGTATGGTGTATATACCATCGAAATAAAGTCTTTAATTTAACCGACCAAAATGAGATACGGGACAACGGACACTGTAATTACCATATGCCGGTGTCTAAATTACTCAAATTCAGATTCCGTTGTCATTGACGATATCGAAGACTCTATATTGTAGCGATTCACGACCCAATTTGATCGAAAATGGAATTTCATATGATACATTATAACAACAGCTCAATGCATACACAGAATTAGCGACGAATCCCATGAAATGCGGACCAAGTGATTAAACAGTTGAAGCGACAGTTACGTCCGCCATTTGTGGCAACGGTATCTGACTTTACCGTAGTCAGGTTATTCCGGAGTGAATATAATCTGGTGTAAAATTTTATATATATATATATTTTAAATATATTCAGTTTAATTACTATTTTTAGAGAATAAGATGGTCCGGTTATGAAACGTACTTCTTTAGATGATCTGTGTATTCTCTTTCACCTAATTCAGTTAGTTAAATCAGATAAATTCAATTGCATTCACTGTTATTAGTTGATTATCTAAGGAATAAAGAATTCTGTTTCAATCTTTATCGGAAATTTAAAAGCATGAGTGCATGTCCCATACGTGGATTAGTACATGCATTCTTTAAAATCCATTAAAGAATGATACGGGTTCTTAATTGCAATTCAAATATACTATTACTCCTTTATAACAAGGCATTTACATGACAAAATGTCACCACCTAGTCGCTCACAATGAGTTCAATCTTAAGTCAGATTTGGATTTCTTAGAACTTGAAGATGATTTTGAAAAAATGGTCAATTTGAAGCAAGATGAAAAAGACCTTTTTGACCTTGAGAATGTTATTGAAGGTCAAATCTATAGTCAGATTTCAGGGGGGATTAGCCCCAGAGTTCAAAGCTGACGAACGCTTATAATGTAAACCTGTATGTATCGATAAACAAAATGGCGGATTCCAAATTTTCTGTAATAACGCTTCGAATAATATTATGTTAATTTCTGGCGTGTTTTACCGATTTCATAGCTTGGTTTTTCACATCAAGATAAAGAAAGATGTAAGGAATAAGCTTACATCGATTAAAACATCACCACGACGTGTTATATTCGAAAACTAACTTGTGAGAAGGTGGTAGCAAACGAAGGTGGTACGCAAGAGACGTAATATGTCAGTCATCGCTGGTTCCCCCCTTGACAGATTTGAACTGCTGATAACTTGTAGATGATTTTAATTTTTTTTAAATATTAGTCACTTTGAAGCAAGTATAAAAAATCGTTTTACCTTTTTTGACCTTGAAAAGGTCATTGAATGTCAAATCTTAAGTATAAAGTCAGACTAGAACTTCTGAAAAACATGTGGATGATTTTGAAAAAATCTAAATCACCAACCACCAACCGCAAACCACCAATTGGCGTCAAAAAACGGAGACTATAACTTTTTGGTGGTGACATGAAAAATGACATTGTCCATTTATGACGTGCACGGACCTGGGGACAGTTCGGGAAATGCGGGCTGATTTGAGCTTTGAGCGTTAATCTCTGCCTTATTTAAAAAGCTAGCTATGTGTTTTATATATCATTTTGAAGTATTTTTTATTCGCATTTCAGTGAAATTATTTTTTCTTCAAAATTTTGATGGGATCCAACATATTTTTAAAGTTAAACATATCCCAAAATCGTCAAATACGCTGTAAGACGTAACACTTTACACTTACAGGGCTCGTTGAAATTGGGATAACTTTTGAAATAATGATCAAAATCCCACTAAAATTTCACAATTTATTCAATGGAGCATGTTCATTTATGACGTCACAATTGCTTAACGGCTACAGTTCAAATTATCATATATGAACGCTTTTAAAATTTCAAAATTGTGTAAGGTTTTGAAGGCGAATGGGACGAGCAATAAGTTTACCTTCATTTAACCTTCTAATTCAAGTCTGATTTGAAAGAAAAATTAACTTCACAATATTGTCATGGCGAAATTTACAAAACAATAACCAGTTTGTTTATTTTGCAAATAATATTAAAATAAGAGCTGGTTTTCGAGACTTGAAAAAAATGTGACGCATCGATTTTCTACCACAAAGTCCATACATATCAATTTTTACCAACGCCCCAAGTGGATTTCTTTACCGTTTTCCAAAATT